CCCCCTTGAAGCGCTGGGAGGGAGGTTGTTAGAATCGCTTCTGTCAGCCTGTCTTAGGTCCAACTGCCATAAATAAAATAAATACCATTCATTGGGTACCTTAAACAACAGGAATTTATTTCTCCTAGTCCTGGAGGCTTCCAGTCCAAGATCCAGGTGCTGGCTGGTGTGGTTCCTAGTGACAGCTCTCTTCCTGGCTCCCAGATGGCTGCCTTCTCGTGTGTCAGATGGAGAGGGAGGGAGGGAACGATGGGGAGGGGGGAGAGAGAAAGAAATATAAGAGCACTGATCCCGTCTTGCGGGATCCACCATCATGAACTCATCTAAACCTAACCATCTCCCAAAAGCCCCATCTCCGAATACCCTCTCCTTGGGGGTTAGGACTGAAATGTATGAACTTGAAGGGCGAAGCGCCCCATGGCTCACTTGGCGGAGGTCTGGCGGGAGCCTGCTCTACGAGGTGGCGGCGGGGCAGCTGCTTAGGACACAGCGGCACAGGTCCTGTCTCTGCCCTCATGCGGCTCAGGACTTAATTTTTAAAAATTACAGAAATATTTAAATAGAAACACTTACAGGAGGCATGAGGGAAGGTACATACCTGAGCCAGGTAGGCTTCCCAGGGGAAGTGACATCCGAGCTGAGGGCTCTGCGTGGGTGTGAGCGAGGTGGGCTGCGAGGAAAGCGCTCTAAGCTGGAGCAGAGGCCCAGAGTGGGAGAAAGGACCGGAAGTGTGTGGCTAGAGCATCTCAGGACAATTAATTGCGTCTCCCTTTGAGGTAAAAGCAAGTGTTTTCTGAGAACTTTCTCCAGTGATGCTTTTTACCCAAAGGGGAGCTTTCAGCTGGGCTTAGTCATCAGAGAGCAGAGGAGCAGGCGTTTGCTCTTTGTGAGCAGCTCTGGTCAGCCTCCCTGAGGGCAGGTGCCTGGGGTTGGTGGAGGTGAGGGAGCTGGACTAACAGGAGGTCTGGGGAGTAATGTTTGCATTTTTGCATCTTTGAACTGCCTTCCCTCCGACTTAGTCCCATCTGAAGAACCGTGCTTGTGATTTATGAAACTTTTTTAAGCGAAAAATATATGTCTTTAAGATAGATCATTTCATCAGCAATTGCAGGAAAATATAAATAGAGTACAATAAAATAAAACCGAAATCCATTAACAAGCTCTGCTTCTTGCTAAATGATTTATTTCTGCTTTCTTTCTTTCTTTCTTTCTTTTGCTTGCTTTCTTTCTTTTTTATTTCTAAAAAGAGGGGAAGAGAGGGAGAAAGGGAGAGAAGCATCTGGCCTGCAACCCAGGCGTGTGTCCTGACTGGGAGTCAAACTAGCAACTTTTTAGTTCGCAGGCCAGCGCGCAATCCATTGAGCCACACCAGCCAGGGCAGGTAGCCATTTCTTAAAGGAAACTTCTTGTCCACCAGTTTGCTTTAAATGCTTTCTAATCAACTCTACATCCTTTTTTCTACTACTTTAGTTCTATAACACAAACTGTCTTCTCTAAAAACATATGCTTACAATTTGCAACTCATATAAAGTTAGCTACTGAAATAACTCGCCCATAGAAATGCATAATGTAATTGTATCTAGTGAGTCCCTATCTAATGATATGGATTTATATGTCATTGTCCCTTTCACTGCTATGTTTTCATCCTTTCTGTTCTATTTTACTTCTTTCCTGTTTATAAATATTGGGCACAGTTTTGCCCTCAAAATCCTGTTTGATCACGTTCTCTGAGAGCCTAATGCACAACAGGTGCTCAGAAAAGAAATGACGACACAGAGAATGAGATCTGATACCTTCTCAAGGGCCGGTTCTGTGACTGGATTCTTACCTGCAGGGTTAGTGTCCCTCCGGGCCACCCAGGGAGGGTCAGCTTCTCCATGAGCACCTGAGATCCTCTGGAGAAGAACTGGGCCTTCCTTAACTATGAATCCTTGGCTCCCAGTTCACAACAGATGCTCAATAAATGTTATTAAGTGATTAACGCCCAAGTCCAACGCATGCTGCTGTTTGAAAAAGTCCATTCCTAGAAAAACAATATTTTGGTGCTCATTACCAAAAGGAAGCATGGGGTAGAGGCTAGAGGGCTTCGATCTAGAAAGGTTAAAGTTTAAGAGTTGAGAAGGCTGCAAGCTTCACTCAGTTCATTCAATGAACCTTCTTTCCCAGGATATAGGACACACAGAGAAATGGGACTCAATGACACTGGACTTGTTCACCTTGTTCTTAACTGGGCTGGACTTGGTGTGAGTCTTTTTCAAACAATTTCTAGTAGAGCAACCAAAGTCCAATGAACAGAGAGTAATTCAAGAGACTTAGAGGCACCGCGAGTTAAAAAGGACTGTGTTGGCTACGTGTCTCTGTTGATGCCACTTTCCAGAGCAGTGATCACTGTTGTCACAAGCAGCCTTGGGCCTGGCCGGGTCCGCCCCCAGTGTCCAGGCCACAGCGAGCAGCTGCAGGCGGGAGGATTCCCTCCACACAGTGATGACGTTCGGCTAAGCCACAGTTTCCTTGACTTAGGAGGAAACCCGTGTGGTTTGGGGTTGCGGGGGCGTGGATAAGCAAAGTGCAGATATTTTCTCATTGTCCCGTGGCTTTAAATTGCAACCTCTCTTTTAATTTTCCATTATGCATCAAACACATCTGTGCCAGCAGTGGGCAAATGTGTTCCATCTGGGAGAATGAGCCAGACAGCTATAAATTAGAGTTTGTGTACAGAGATGCCAAAAATGTGGCCACATGGTAGGGTGTCCCTGGGACCAGTCACCTCCTCCACAGTCTGCTTGGTGGCTGCAGGCCTTGGCCTGACGCCTCTGTCAATAGATCTCACTTTGTATTTGGAAACTGTCTTTCCATCAAGTTGCCACAGTGGCAGGAGGGCAGGGATGCCTCTGAAGCTCTGCTGCACACACCCGCCCTGGGCAGGCTCCGGCGCCCCTCGATGGCGCCTTCCCAAGGGCATCACTGTCTTTCCCGCATCAAAAACAGTAATGACCTTGAAGCTGATTTCTTCCCAAACTCAGGCATGACCCAAGGAAACTCTCCCCACTTTGTCTTGATTGAACAACTACCATATCATGCTTTTTTTTTTTTTTTTAATCCTCACCCAGGGACTTTTTTCATTGCTTTTAGAAAGAGGAAGGAAGAGAGAAAGGGGAGAAAGATCAATGCAAGAGAGAAGTATTGATTGGTTGCCTCCTGTATGCACCCAGACTGGAGATGGAATTGCAACCTAGGCATGTGCCCCAACTGGGAATCGAACCCGCAACCTTTCCATTACAGGATGATACTCCAGCCAACTGAGCCACACCAGCCAGGGCCCATATCATGCATTTAAAAATAATTTTTAAATTTATAAGAGTAATGTATACTTAATGCAGAAAACTTAGAAAATACAGCAAAAAAGGAAAAGTCACCTGTAATCCCACCCTTCAGAGATAAATGTTGTCAATGTTTTAGCATGATTTCTTTCACCATTTTTCCATGCCATGCTACCCTTTTTTAAAAATGAAAAAAACTCTTCAAGCTGGTTGCACCCAGCTCCAGCAGCCGTCCCTCTCACATTATCCAATTAGTGCTTTCCTCTGAGTGCTGGAAACATTTAGTTATTCCACATTAGAGGCTCCAGCTGGTAGAACTCTGCCCCTGCAGCTCCTAGCTGAGGTCATGCCGCGCTTCTGAAGGGCCTGGCCACGCGGGGAATTGGCCTTGTGGGGACAGAGGGTGAAGGGTAAAGTCCTCGTATAATTCCTGCCAGGTAACCCGAAAGGGTAGCACCAGGTCTTACAAATAGCCCCACAGATAGAAGGCCCCAGTGTATGAAGGACTGTGCCGGCCCCTGACTTTGATATTATTTTTTCCTATTAAATATCGACGTCACTGACTATGCCCTTCTGTCTTCCTGCTGGGGCAGCGGGGCCTCTACCCTGTGTGCCTGGCAATAGGCCAGGGCAGCCCAACACTAACCAGAGGGGTGGGCAGAACCGGGGGACTATTTCTGCATCTTCGCTTGCTTTCCCCGTCCCTTGAGTCCCGAAGGTGCCCAGTGAACGTCAGTGGATTGATCGATATGATGAAATTCGAGATGGGTGTTTGTGGACAGAGAGGATGCTGGGGCTGGAGCCTGCTGGCAGGCAGTTGCGACAGTCCTGTGGTGGCGGAAAAGGACTCCCAGCCTTGGTGCGCAGCCTCACGCAGCCCTCAGAGTGGCCGAGGGGAAGCAGGCGATCGATCGACCGCTGCCAGCCTGCCCGGCCGCTGCCCCCACCCCCTGCCCCTCGGCCTCCCATGAGCCGCACTGCGCACAGACCATACTTCTTCAGAAAATTATTTTTTCCTTTCTTACTTTCCATGGAAACTCAAAATAGCAACCCAAAAAAAAAAAAAAAAAAAAGTCACGCGGCCTCCCTGCCTGCGAAACCATCCCCAGGCAGTGCAGGGACCATGGCGGCCCCCGGGGAGCGGGAGGCTTCCGGATGCCTCTGAAACAGCTCTGTCGCTGGGCACTGCCCGGCGCACTCGTGCGGTGTGGGCAGGTCTGCGGTCGGTGTGTTTGCTTCCAGCTGAGAAAGGCGGGTGTCCCCCAGGTCTTGGAGTTCATCTTGCTCTTGGTGACCCAGCGTCTGAAACACCGTCCCGTGCACTGCGGTATTGGTCAGAAGGTCCAAAGTGCCCTGTAGGGGCAGAAGGGCAGGGCGCAGATGCCTTCCAGGGGACTTCACGGGAAAGTTCTTTCTGAGATGCCTCCCACGCTGCACAGGGCTGTGCATGCCCATAACCCAGGGCAGCCGGCCTAATGCGGGACACTCTGCGTTTGGCATCGGGAAACTCACGTTCTAAGGTCACGTCAGGGACCTGGGGGCTCCAAGCGCCTGGTGTCACCCGCAGTACCCCCACCCCCAGCAGTGAAATGGGAAGGATGCGGCCTCCCAGCCCAGTGTCCCGTCCGCCGGGCTGCACACTCGCCTTCCCTTCGTAAAGCTCTGGCGTTGCCTTTTCAGCTGGCAGGGTCGTCTGTCATCGCTTTCGGACTATGGTTTCGGTTCGGCGGCACCATGAAGGATTTCTCCTCGGAGGACAAGTCCCCAGAGTACTTCTACGTGGGTGAGTGACACCAGCTTCCCTTAGCTTTCCCCGAGGCTGGGTGCAGGCCTGTCCCGGGGCTGCTGGGGAGAGGGTGAGAAGGGACGAGGGAAAGGAAGGGGGAGGAGCCTGGGCCCCTGAAGACCCCCATCCCACCCGACTGCGCTGGGGCATGGGTCCCGGCGGGGGATGGCCCTGCCACCCTTCCCTGCCCGCCCCTCGCACGCTTCGTCCCAAGGAAGACGAGTGCGGGAGACTGGCGCAAGGTCCTTCTTTCAGCCACTTGAAGACAAGAAGCCCAGAATGTGACTAGAATTTGTTCCCAAAGAATTAGGAACACCCTCCTCCCCGCGGCCCCCCCCCGCCCCCCGCCTCCAATGAGGTGGGCACGCCCTAGTGGGTCATTCACTCTCCCGTCTGGGCTGCCCGGGCCCTGCAGTGTATCAGGGAAGCCGAATTCAATGAAGAGACAGCTCAGGGTTCGGAGGAGCCAACCGCAGTCCCTCTGTGACCCGGGGACTGCGGAGGACAGGGGTGGGAGGACAGACAGAGGAGGGCAGGGCTGCCGGGGACAGAGGCCTCGGTGGGGGAGGGGCCACGGCCTACCTCCCTCCAGCTGCGCACCAGGCTGCGGGCTGCGGAGTGGGGTGTAGCCTCCCATTCTGGGACGGCGACTGAAGCCGGGCCCGAGCGCCTCCTCTCAGGTTCAGAGCCCCCTCTCCGTCTGCTTCTAGTCCTGCTCTGCGGCCGGTTCTCATCCTGCAGTTAAGTGCACCTGGACTCTAGATTTCAAAACGCCCAAGACCACAGTCAGTACAGGTCATGGCCCTATGTGACCAGCTGGTTTTAGATCCACCCCGGCCATAAGTATACACTTCAGTTTCTTGTGGGGCCCTCTCTGCTTGGGGCGAAGCAGGATTCTGCAGATTGCTTGCTCCAAACCCCAAGAAGAGCAGAGCTATTTCCCGGGAGGGACCACTGTCTAGGCCCCACTGAGAGCCTGGGGCATCCTCCCAAGGGCCACTCCCAGCTGGGTTACCCCCTCCTCCTGACATCTCCCCACCCTGTTCCCTCCTGTAACAGAAAGCCCACTAAAAGATGGATAACAACAAGGAACCCCATGTTTCATCAAATCTTGGATGCCGTCTTTTGTAAACACCCACGTATTGTAAGTTCCACTGAGAAAAGAAGAAATGCTGCCACTTTAACTAAAATACCATAAAATACGCATCCTAATTTCAGAAATGTTCAAATGTAAAACTGGTGAAATGTGGCATAAGGAGTGTGGAGGTGGGGAGTCTCCAGATTTAGCTCAGGGTTCAACAGTCACCAAGGACCCAGGTGTTTGTCATGTTTCTACATGCCACCTGCGGGCCAACCTCAAACCCGCCCCCTCAGGATTACAAGATAGCTGCTGTGGCTCCAGCCATCGTATCCTCACACAGCAGCATCCAAAAGAGAAAAAAAGGAAGGCTCACCTCATGTGGCCCTTTTTAGGAATGAATAAAGCCTTTGTCAGGAGTCCCCAGGAGACTCCCCCGTGCAGTCTGTTGGCCAGAACTGCACTGTGTCTTCATACCTAGACTGTCATGGCCAAGAAGAGAATTACTATGCCTGCCTCTGACTAACCAGGAGTCACCCTGGGCCTGGAAAGGAGCCCAGGCTCCCCACAGAGCGTCTGACACTAGACGCCATGCCCCAGGTAACAAAAATCAGGGTTTTGTTACGAGGAAGAAGCAGAGGACTCTGCCACCCTATTTAACCCTGAAATGCTCTTCTTCTCCACCCACGCAGTTTCCAGGTGGTACCCACCCTTCCACCCCAAGTCTCACATGCATATATAGCGTATTCTTTCTCCCTTGAGGAACTCCTGGCTCTGAAAACTGCCTCAGAAGCGTTCCCTGTCCCAGGGCAGACCCCAAGTGCCCCCTGACAAAGCTCTGCCTGTCCTCCGCTGGCCCCATCCCCAGGAAGCTTCAAGCTCACCCCAGGGACACACAGGAGCAGTTGGGGGCGGGCAGAAGGAATGTGTCTTCCCTCATTTTGCTGACATTCCAGGACCTGCTTGTTTCATCACTTTTCCTGCAATGTCTAATTCCATTTTAGTACAGTCACACTCGTTGCCCACTGGGTTAACCACAGCAAAGTTAATCCAGTTTTCATAGGACTCATGCCTCTCCAGATATATGTATATGATATATACAATAATCGGTAGCAGACAAGAACCCCCAGCATGTGTTAAGTGCCCATGAGTGGTGCAGACTCAGCCACTGAGCTGAGCATGAAAGGGAGCACTGCCGGCTGGCGGGACAAGCCTCAGGGCGGAGGGGCGCTTGTGTGGCACCTGGGAGGGCGGAGCAGTTCCGGGGGGCCTGAGTCAGGGAGAGCCGGGTGAGGACTCTGGATCAGCCACTGGCAAGTCAATGGCAGGCAGCTCCCATCCCGCCCTCATCTGTGGCAGGTCTGGCTGATTGTTCAGGATGCTCTGCTGGGGGAGTCCTCTTAACCACTCCTCCCAACCATGCACAACGTCATTCTCCCTCCCTGCTAGACTTCAGTTACTTGAGGTCCTAATACGAGGTCAGTCCCAATAAAACCACAGCAGTCCTTCGCTCCTAAAATTCAGGCATGTTGGCATTCAGGATATTAGCATTCAGCCTGTCTGCTCTTTGGGGCTGTTTATCTTGCAGTCCTCAAGTGTGACCCTCAAGACTTTCCACCAAAAGCTGAGTTTTGCCCTCAGATACACAGGGAAGAGTCCACCTCAGTTAGAACCAAAGCTTGGGAAGCATCTACCCATTCGGTTGCAGCCAGACATTCTCCTTGGGGTTGTTAGATAACTGTCTAACATCAGCCACCGCACCGCCAGGCTTAAGGCTGGAAGACTGAAATCTCTGTAATGTGATTTCTCAGCTTGAACTGGAAATGTGCAGCCACAGTAAAGAAAACCCATTTCAAAAGACCATGAAGTCCTGGATTATGTGGGAAACATAGGAGAAGCTGTCTCCCTCTCAATGGTAAAAAAAATGTCTGGCTATCTAAAAATCTCTCCATGGTTATTTTAATTTTGGAATTTCATAAAATATTTGGTTTTATGCAAGCGTGGTTATGCATTCAAGCAGGGGTGCCTCTATTCTTTCCATCTTTTTTGTAGACTCCTCTGTTTGGGAAAAAATAGAACCTCCCCATGGGTGCATCAGCCAGCATCTAGCCTCCTGGGCTCTGCGGCCACACAAAAAAAGTATGAGAGCCCTCGACTTGGCCCATGTAACCTGCCTTGTATTTGAAGAGACTCGCAGGTGTAACAATTTAAATTATAATAGAAACTACTGTGTGACTAAATGCCAGCGAAGTGGCATTTGCACAGGGGGCATCAGGATCATTCTAAACTGGAAGCAACGAGGAGCTGTGTTAGGTTAGAAAGACCAGACGGCAATCGGTGGAGAAGACAAGGAATGAGGACCGCACAGGTTATAGGGCAAGACGGCACACGGTGACCGCAGGACAGAGATGAGCAAGCCCGGCCCGGGCGGAGGGCCCTTCGTGGAGTGTAAAGGGGTGGGGCATGGTGGGGGTAAGATTACAGGTGTGGGGAGGGACGGACGGCAAGTACAGAGGGCTTTGAATGTTCGGGTCAGTTAATGTGGCAAGCAGTAGAAGACTGATTTAGGGTTGGGGGGGCGTGATCTCACTGCAATCTTAAAGAGATTCTCTGGCAGCAACGGGATGAGAGGGGAGCAACAGGACAGAAAAGAGCAATCTGGATTGGATAGAAGAGGGCAAGGCGGAGATAAATGGTGGTGGAAGGAGACTCGACTTGGGGTGGTGAACACACAATACAATATACACATGATGTGTTATGGAATTGTGCACCTGAAACCTATACAATTTTATTAACCAATGTCACCCCAGTAAATTCACTAAAAAAGAAAAGAGAGCAAACTTGACCGTTGATGTAGTCAGACATAGGGCATTACCCATGATGGCTGCATAGGAATTGTGATGAAAGGAACAGAAGACAAAAAACCTTATTAAACAATATTCTCAAACATCATTAAATTCAGGGACAAAAGAATCAAAACAACAAATGATATCAGTAATAGAAACAAAGCCAGAAGTGACAAGTCATGGTTTTTAGATAAGAGCCTGGGGTGCAGAAATAAGGGGTCCTGCTCAGTCCGAGAGAGAGGGCAGGTGTGTGAACGGGGTGGAAGCCCTCAGCCGGCCCGGGGCGCAACCTCCGTCTGCGGTGCTCCGGAAGCAATGTGCTGAAAGCACTACCACAGGCATGCATTTTGGGTCCAGCGTAAGAAAACCTTTCTGACAATTTAATAAATCAAAGAAGCCAAGCAGCCCTCCACAGGTGAAAGGGAACTCACCTCTACAACGGTATTCAACATACCCCTAACAGGGCAAAATCTCAGTGGGGCGTGTGTCCATTCAGGAGGGTCCTGTGTTGAGTGGGGTCAACCAGCTCTAGACAATCATTCTGATCCTATTTTCTAACCTAAAGCAACATGAACCGCTCGGGGTGCAAGACACTTCCTGTCTTTCTGGACTTACCTTTAGGACTCGTTTCATTGCAAGTCACAGAGACGTGACTCAAACCGTCTTAAGCAAAACAGGAATTTCTTGACTCACATAGCTGAAAAGTCCAGGATTGGCACTGTTCTCGGGGACGCAAGTGATGTAATTGGACCCAGTGTGTCTCCATCTCTGAGCTCTGCTTTCCTTTGGCTCTGTTCTGGGTAGGTTTCCTCTACACGCAATAAAACGGCTGCCTGCAGCTCCGGGCACCATCTCCCGGGCAGCTCTGGCAACAAAAGTGCAACCCAAGTCCTGAGCCGCCTCCCTCTTGTTGGCAGTCTTGGGTGCTCATTCCCAAGCCAATCATTGTGGCCAGCTGGTCAGGATGGGCTCAGCTGAAGCCTGGGCTTCACCCCTGCCTCGGAGCTGGGGCCGTTCGGACCCCTCAGACCACAGGGACTGAGAGTCACAGGGGTTGGTTCCTCTGATGGAGA